GGCACTCAAATAATCAACCTGTATACAGTGGACTGTCGTTAAGTATAATAACACTTTCCAGTAAGTAGTCAGAAATCTCTCTTTTACTAAGGGTGACAAATGCTAGACAAGAGTTCAATTTTTCATGTCTTTACTTTCTCGTCTATCAACTATTATCTGAGTTGGTCAATACATTAAAAAAAATCCACTTTTCTTACTCACTATGGATGTTGATGAAAACTAATCATGATATATCACTGGCTGATAACTATTAAGTATGTGTCAAACTTTCTCGAGCTTCTGCTACAATATTCAAAAGATTTCGTCTTTTAGGCACATCCTCTGAAGAGAATTATAGTGCACCTTTCTGGTACCAAAATGAAACTAGGGCCAAAATAAATAGATTAAATTGAATTAACTAAATAAAATTGTAGCTTTTCTCCGGATGTTTAAGATGTTTTAAGTTTTATTTTAACAAGCATACATCCGAGAAGGCTTCGACGCTATTTTGCTCCCCCTTTATGCTGGTTAACACGCACATCCTCAGAGTCTCTGGCTCAGCCATATTAGCCGGATGATTTGGATAAACGTTTTCTTTAATGATCATTAACAAATTTATTCCATTTATATATACTACTCCTTTGAATATATTCCTGAATATCAGTCCTTTTGATTTATGCTTTGTTATCAGTACTTACATGTCGGGTAAAGTACTACTGATCAAGCAGGTACTAGAGCACACCGACTCATGTAGGATTGGTTAGGCGTTACGTAGTAGTAAGACATCCAGTCCCCTACAGAATCTTATTTTTTGCATATTGCAGATTAACCGTAGTATATCAAGAAATTAATCTATAAGAATGCGGAAGTAAACAGTCATCCGACAAAACATATAGAGGAGTGGAACAACAGTGAGAATAGTGGACTTTCTTGACGTAAACTATTATCTATTATCAGTTTATGCGACATACGTAACATAGCTGTATCAGTGCATGGAGGAAGTCTTCTTTTTAACGTAAAGCGTAAAATTACAAATGTATTAGTCCAAAATAGAAAGCAATCTTTGATAATACCTTTGAAATTGAATGCTGTCATTTCCAGGTCAAGAAATATGGTCACTATGACGTGTCATCATGAATATATGTGTATATTGTTTGGTTGGAGGTAATCAGTAAGAAGCCTTCAACTAAGGTTTTGAGTTTGTTGGCACTTGTCGGCAGGGCATGTCTGCAACCTCGAGGGAACTGATGTCCTCTCTTAAATTCAAACCCACGCCACCTAGTGTCGCAGTCAGCGATGCTACTACTGAGCTATTGGAACTGCGATCGACCTCCTTGAGGGCTAAATTACATAGCCTGACTGGTCACTGAAAGGTAACCAATTTCATGTTATCCATTCCTGAGTGCTGACGGAAAAGCGAATTAATACACCATTCAAGACTATTTTCTGTACCACGTATAAAAATAGTCTTCCTGAGACGCCAAATCGTCCAAGTACAGAGATTTCCAAATGACTTGCTGAGTTTAAAAACCTGAGATGCCCTTTGGAGGTTACAAGCGTACTATAACACCGAAGACTTGGTTCTCACATTTGAACTACTTCTCTACGTTTATGTCGATTCTGAAAAGCCAATCATAAACGAGACAAAAATTATGTGAAGTTTGTCCAAAGCATTTTGTGAGAAGTCAGCAAGATATATACTTGCATAGAATGCAACGCGCAACATAGTGCTGCATTCACAGCTACTTGGGTTTGCAAGTTATGACTTGTAGAATAAGAAACTGATTCTGTAGATATTTTATCACTGACATCTTTAGAAAGTTGGTTGAATAATAAGGTAGTCAGCAGTTGTAGGGAAAGAAAGAAAGTCAAGTAGTTCAGTTTCCAAGTCATATGATGTAATAATAGTGATACTAATAATAGTAGCAATGGTGCTGATAGTGGTGAGATGTTTGAGGGTGAATTCAAAGCTTCTATTGTGTGACCATACAAAGAATGCACCAAAAAAGCGTTACACAGAATTCTCAACAGGATTGTGTTTAGAGTAGTATTTAAACCAACAACTTCGCTTAGAAACAAGCTTTCCAGGCTAACAGATCCTACTGATTCAATTAGACAAAATGATATAGTTAACCAAATCCCTTGCGATGATTGCGAGATTAAATACATAGGTCAAAGTAGTCAAGCAGGGTCAATCAGACTATTCGAGCACAAAACTTTAGCTAAATCAAGACTAGTAGATCCTAATAAGATAAATTTGGAGAAAAGCTTGATTATGGTTATGCACGCAACTGCACACAATAGGCTGAGATAGAGAGACAGTATTACAAACTAACTTAGTTGGGTGGAGGGAGAGAAAGAGTGATAACCCAATCTTTGTTTATCGAATCAACAACAAATACATGCAGTAACAGGAATGATTCTACACCTATCCCGGATATATGGAAAATTATGCTACCCTTACCACGGAGAAAGAGACAAGATTAAAACCATATAAACTGTGTCGAAAAGTTGGGGAGTTAACTTATATGAATAGGGACAATAAATCATGTTCGAAATGTCAACCAATGAATGATACTGTTTCACTGTGTGACACACCTAATAAACAGACAAAAATGGAATTAGAATCTACCACAGTTTCTAAGTTTTACTCCTATACATGGGGTATAATGTTTATTTACCTCGAACAGTAGTGATGAATAGAACAAAAAAACAATGGAAATATACTAGTCATCGTACATTAATCTTAGCTCAGAGTAATAGGCTATAGTAAATTTATTTCCATGAGAAAAATGCTGCTGATGATAGATATAAGAAACAAATTTTGCAACACAGTTGCATGCACTCACATATAATTCATAAGGACTACAATTTGATAACATTTCATGACCCTTTCTTCGTGCTTGTAAAACCAGATAAGTCTCAAACACAGTCAAACATTGTGACCAAATTCAGCTTTAAGTGAATGCAAAAGAATGCCGTAGTTTCAAAGATAACAAACCAACCGAATTACTACAGTATAGACAGAGATGGATAAAAGTAGTCCTTATAAAGTCATCAGATGCAATGTATGATGTAGAATGAAGTTAGTAGCGCGACTTAACTTATGGGGTAATAAACTTTAGAAATAAATTCCAACAATATACTAGATATATGTGCATGAAATCACTCGAATTAACTGCGTTTATTTGTATTGTTTACCTGATAATGTACAAATGAACAGTATTATGACTGGGAGGTTGATAAGAAGTTACGCATAAATAGCAATGTACATCGTCATGTTCACACAACCTGGATGGTTTTACATTCACAAGCTTGACCATATCACATACATACATACAAAAAAGATAAACTGAAGGAATGCACGATTATCACTATTATTACTAGAACATAAACATGGTACAGCAAGGGCACCAAGAAATTCTCCACACAAAATAGTATAACAACAATGTGAAGACATAAACGATAGGAAGTGGTTAAGTAGGAAAAAAATAGCATGACTAGAATAGAGTAGAATCATTGGAAGGGTAGTCCAGTCAGATATATTCAAAACAAAACATTCATTACTTTTCAGCACCAGAAGATAGGAAGAACCTGCAGCATAACCCCCACTAGTTTCGATTCTCAGCCATATCTGATAATGTCTCGAGCCACTGAGTTGCATGATTTCTCGGACCCCACCCCCATGCGGGGAGTCGTGATACACCAACAGGTGCTGACCCGACGCAAATACCATTCATCCCGCGGTATCACGTCAAACACTGACCACCCGTTTGCTTCTGCCATCTAGTCCTACGGCCAGTAAACAACGGTGTGAAAGCCGTTGGGACGACATGAATAACACATATAAAAGCCATCGAAGCCGGTGTTTCCAGATGGCTTTACTTATTGAATGATGATATCCATCATACCCAAACATAGGTTGTCGTACCTCAGAATTACATACATGATGTTACCACCGAATACAACTCTACGGAGACAACGATGGTCGAATACACAGAATCGTCGCACATCTTCAGATGGGAGAGACCAGGTTTCACAAGTGTAGAGTAGAACTGTTCTCAATGAGGCGTAGTGAACCCAACCTTTTGCGGTCAAACTAATGTAGCAACGGCGCCAAATGTGGTGCAGATTGACGTATGCCACTTTGCCGTTCCAAATGCGGTTGGAAATCTCATCACACATCTCCGCCAGTACTCACGCAACAACCTAGATACACGAACTTTTCGACTACTTCCAACGGCTCACCACCAACAACAGTAGGTGGAGGCGTACGGCTCCTGCCAATCCAGCAAGAGCGTGTTGCACTTTAATGATGCAAGGCACATACTATATTCACGGGAATACATATTATCTGGATTGATCTTATGGAAGTGAATAACTTCTGTTCATGGAATTTAAGACAGTTTAAAACTAGAAACATTCACCAGAAGGTTTGAAATACAAAGCTTTATTTCAACAAGTCATAGACAATGAGGAAAAACTGTCACAGGCTTTGTGTTTCATATGCATGATGAGAAACTTGGGTATTTGAATTAGAACAGGATACGAAAGACAACAGTGTGATTTTTAGATAGATCCTTCCCAGACTTCACTTTCATATGCATATGACATATTAACTATAGTCATTTGTCAGTCCATAATTACGATTGAGATTATGCAGATAGTATGATAGTGATAGGCATAATAAACATGATAATCAGCATAATTAAAACGGAATGATATTATTTAGAACACAGTATAACGCGAGGAGGGTCTGGGCAAAAGCAATACTGTTCACACCTTCGGTTTGTTATAGTGTATAATTGACAAGGATATACTTCATAACTTCGTAATAACAATAAATCAAGTGAATATGAAAAGTGATCACCGCTATGAGTCATTCATAAAGAAATTCGTCCCCAAAACTCTGGCATATTTGCATCTGCTTAATACTCTTCAGTTTGGATACTTATATAAAATTACAACTGTATGTACTATCAGTAGAATAATTTCAATTAAAACAGGTTGAAAAGACTTACTGTAAAGTCCAAAATTCTTTGAGAATGACTGAGCCACAAACATTTCCATGTTCATCGAAGCAAATAAACGAATGGCCCATGCATCGTTGTCTAAATCTCCGCTAGCAAATCCTTGATAAGCCATATCGAAGACGGGGAAGAGATTTTTCGCCTAAACGAAGGAACCGTTAAAAACCAATTAAATGAATAAATTTGGAAACGACTGTTTATTAATATAATCAAAATGTTTTGTACCATTCAACTTCTGTGTTACAGATACAACAATATTGAATGATAAAGTGTGGGACTTTAATGGTCATAATGTGCTGATGTAAAGTATTTTCGTAATTATCATAGTCATTACGAAAACTATGACAAATTCATTGCGGTATACTGGTGCAAACTGAATGTGTTGATTTAGTTTCCAACGTTAATGCTGAAATATGAACCTACAAAATGCTGCTGTACAGACTGATCCACAAAAGAGTTAATAACTGAATGATCTGCTTAGTGTAACAATTCAGTTATCTTCTTTTCATCAATGGGTTTTTAAACTTCATTTGTCTTACTCATTCACAAATGACCAGGTAGTAATCAGTTATAAAGAGAAAACGGTATTCAAAAATATATAAATTTCTTTATCACTAAGATTATTGAATAGTTTTTTTAGAAAGCTAACTCACTCAGTTTTCTTCCTTTAAAAAAAATGTTGTTTTTGAGTTTCATCATCCATCATCAGTGCAGTGATTTGTTTGCAACGTTAATATGGATTATGTAGTGTAATGATACTGATCAACGATTCAAAATTAATTGTTTCTGTTTGAGTTTCCAGTTTTAATATCGATGAGTAGATAGAAAGTACACCGACTAAGTGCAAAGTAAAGCCTCAAGAGGAGTTAAAGGCTAACTTACATAGTCATATATACAAAGCCACGAGAGGGAAATAGAAAGTCAATATCAGAGTAGAGCTTAAGACAGCAGTGCTTAATGACACAAAATGTTTGGGAATGATTGAAACCGAAAACTAACGATTGGTTCTTAAAGTAACACTAGGCAACTGAGCCAGTAATATGGAACGGTCTTATCGATGATTTACGTGGTTTTCAAGACTTTATTCACCAAAACAAAAAGTTATGAACCTTAAAAACTATGGCGATTTTTTGGTTTGATAACCCTGAGGTACCTAATTTCTATTCCAGTCATGATAGAAAGAGATGGAAAATCGCCCGAAGCATCTAAAGAGGCTTACCGTAATACACAGTTTCAACCTAGTCAAACGATTAACATCTCCATACTAAGAACCTAAACCTAAAATTAAAATTTTACGGTGGTTTACTATACATTAACAGTGCTGGAAGGATGCGCATATCTCGATAATTTAAAGCAGAGCATCGCTATTGCATAGTATTTTTCAGTATGACTCTTAAGCCAGGGACTTTTTATAGCACAAAACCTTGTATTTTTAATGCACGTATCTGATACGTAATAGTAGTAAAATTTACCACCAACCAATAGGCATGAAAAACTTAGTAGTTTTCCTAGAAATTCTACCTAAAATATTTCTGAAGTTCAACTTATTTTCAAGTGCTGTTGAAGATAAATCCAATCCTTTAGTGAATATTAATGACACTTGGGCAAAAACTTGATAACAAAATACGAGTTACACAAATTTAATAAGAATTTTACATTTAAATATTATGATAACTACATCTACTTCGTAGGAAAAAGTTTGCACACGCAAGTGATTGTTAGTGCTGTGTAGCAGTTTCCAGCTCTTTATGAAATAACTCACCTTAATAATGTGTGCTAATTTTAACCACTGATCACGTGACAGATCGGTCCCTGTAGGATTGTGGGCACAAGCATGTAGGATGACGATGGCCCGTTCAGGAGCGTTATTTAAGTCATCTAACATACCAGAGAAATCGACCCCTCTATCTAAAGAGTTCCAGTACCGATATTCCTTTACAGCCAGACCAACAAGCTGAGAAATACCCTTGTGATTAGCTAGAAAGTGAAAGTTGTTGAATTTAAACATACGCCATGAAGGGTTTGAAATGTAAACAGTGGTGCATTCAGAAATTCTGGACAAAAACTGCAAGGCTAAGTAAACCGCTCCCGTTCCTCCTAAACTCTGACAGCTGTCGGCCTTGAAAAGCAACAATTAGAAGTAATGACTTACCCGTTTTGTAGAAATTAATTCACAATCTTGGCCAAGGACGAGTTTCGATGCTGCTTTACACATACTGTCCATACCGGCTACTGGAAGATATTCTTTGTTAAGAACTTGATCAGATGCCATAAGGGATTCAACCGTCCGAACCACTGGCAAAACCCATGGTGTGCCTTCATTTGTACGATAAGCTAAATATGTCACTTCTCATTAACACTGAAGGCTTACCACCCACACCGAGGTTAACTTTGTGGCAGTCACTATCCTCATTACAAGCTTCTGTTAGTGCGTATACTTCGATTGGTGGTGCATCACGCACCAGCTCAAAAAAAGAGGCCATCCCTAAAAAACCTCCGAAACAAATGACGATGTTTAATATAAGCGCGCAACTAAGCACCTTAGTCGGTAATCCTAACAACGCAAATGATTCAAATGGTTGTTGACGGAAATAGAAGAAGCTTTCGCTTAACTGGCTTCCACATTTACAACCCGTAGATCACTACTGTTTGTGATTGTTGACCTGTGTACAAGTAAAGAAAGAGGAAAACGTGGTGATTAAAATGTGAAAATTCAATTAGTTCTATGCAGATCCCAGACACACGTATCCATTCGGCGTTTAAAGGGTTTAGAAGAAGTAGCTCGGATCACATCTTCAGGAAGAACGTTTCAGGGTTTAACAAATCTTGGAGAGTAGAAGTCGTGAAAGACATCTAACCTGCTATGTTCTAGGCTTAGTTTCTGTGTGTGTCCTCCAAGGTTACTGCTACAGCTAAGATTTAATAAGTGACGGATGGGGTGACCAGGCGTGCTGAGAATGTTGTGGGTCATTATCAAGTCTCTTCTTAACCTCCCGTATACCAGAGGATATAAATCCAGTACAACCAGTCGTTCTCCGTGTGTTTTCGACCCAAGTCCCCGAACAGATTTTGTCGAATGCCTCTGGATGCGTTCTAAGCTAAGTTTGTCCATCTAGAGAGCAGGAGGAAGACAATGGTCCCGAACTCCAAGTGATGCAGTATGAAGCCGTTGAAAATTTGATGGAAGCATCTACGAACAAATTGTCCAAAACTTCAACTAGGAGTTGCCGACGCCAAGTTTCCACGACATGCGTTTCTGTCACAGTTGGCAGAGGATTTTAAGTCTTGAGGGAGTAAGACGCCCAAATCCTTCTCTGTCAGTAATGCTTCAAGTCCCATGCCGTTAAGGCAGCATACATGAGATGCATCGTGTTTCACGTGTATCACCTTGCATTTCTCAGGATTAAGTGTCAGCCCGTTGTTGGCTGCCTTGTTGTGACTCTGAGTTAAGTCTTCCTGAAAAGAAACACTGTCTTCTTCACTTTTGATTTCTCCTTAGAGTTTCACATCATCGGCAAAAAGGAAGATTCCTGGAGAGACATGCTGAGGCAAGTCGTTTAAGCAGGTTATAAAAAGGAGAGGCTCTAATGCTGAACCTTGAGGAACACCACCAGGACATTCTGTTTCTTCGGACACAGGGCAACTCACTCGAACACTAAATGAACGACCTCACAGACAACTAATCACTGAGTGGGGGTTGAATTCCAATTAATCTCAGCTTATCAATAAGGTAGTCGTGATTCACACGATCAAACGCTTTAACAAAGTAAATGTTGGTAACATCAATTTGTCCTCCATGGTCAACAATGCTAGTCAACCCATCCACTTCAGCGAGCAACCTGGTAATGCAGGAGTACCCTTTTCGAAATCCGCGTTGTTAGGGTGCAATGAAATTTGTCTTTGTGAGGTAATCCCTCAGTCCACCGCATATCAACGATTCCATTACCTTGGAAGGACTGGATAAAAGTGTCACCAGTCTGTATTTCTTCGGACTGCTTCGTTGACCCCCTTTGAAGATTGGCATTATGCAGCCTGGCTTCCAAGAGTCCGGTGCTATCCCCTGACTCAGGGAATTCGTAAATAATTTACTTAAAGGTTCAGACAAGGTTGAAGCTCCCTCCCTCAGTACCGCCGGATGGGTTTTATTTGGTCCCGGAGAGATGTCTTTGGTGAGCCGTAGTAGTTGGCACTGTACTAGCTCAACGCTTAGGTCGACAGTTGAGAGTCCTACTTCGTTAGTGGGATATTCTTAAACTACTGAGTAGGTGGAGGATGTCGAAAATATTTGCAGGTACCAGTCGGCCAAGAGCTCAGCTGCTTCAGTGTCGCTACTAGCCGGCCCGTTCGCACCCAGTAGCCGAGAGATTCCCGCTTTAGCCTGCCGGAATGAAGCAGCGTAACTGAACAGACTTCTGGGGTTAGAAAAAAAATGCCGATCGGCTCTCAATGACTTCGTACGTATGTTTCTTGTTTGTTTCAATTGTCTGTAAGTATATTCGGTGCCAATCCTTTTGTGTCCGGCCCAGTAGTGTCTCTTTAACTTAAGTAGTTTGCGAGGGTGGTTTCTTATTACCTTAGGTAACTTGAAGCACTTCGGTCTCGAAAGTGGAACAGGCCGACTGATTGCACGCATGACTTTGTCAAGTATGAATCTCCAATGGGTACTCATATCTTGCCACGCATGGTTCACTTTCCAACCTGCCTGTTCCAGTGCGGTTAGAAGAGCCGGAGTGTTAAGTCATCTAAGGTTCCAACGACATTCATCGAAAGGTCTGGTTAGATTAGTCTTACAGACAAACTGGAAGCCGACAACAACGCGGTCACTTCTGCCCAAAAGAGGAAGGATTGGTAAGTTGTCTATCAGGAATTCTTTATTTGTGAAGATGCAGCCTAGGCGAGATAGGGTTTGAGTCTTCCTCACTCCCACGAACCAGCAACAATATTGAATATCAAAACCCCAGAATAACTTACAATGATGCCAGTCAGCCATTATCTTACGGCAAGAAATCACCATCTTTTCCTCCTTTTATAGGTTTTCGTCTACGATTGTTCATGGGGATCAGTTACTTGAAATAAGCCGAAGGCTTTCCAAAGTGAGGTATGTCTGGCCATCCAACATTTCACAGTAATGGTGTGAGCACAGGAAACCATTCGTTTTCGAGTGTCCGCATCCAGCCCTTGGGGCTTGCATTTTGTTTTTTGGTTTCGGTCATGTATCAGGCAAGGAAATCTCTTCTACTCTTGTGAGATTAGATTTTTTGGGTGTCTATTAGCAGCTTATAAATTAAATTGGTAAGAAGGCAACGAGGCGCTGGAGGTATTTGGACTCTGAGCAGACAGTTGAGTTGAGTTGAAATTCACAACTATACAAGCCTCAGGGTGTTCGAAATGAATAAGTTAAATGTTCTGCACGCAAGTCCGGTTTAAGCATCTGGGGGAAATGGTCAAAAACTATGTAATTACCAATTGTCTCACAGCGTTTTCTGCTTTATCTGTGAATATTTTCCAAGTCTTTCTTAACTGAGTGGTTGAAGGACAGTAGAACGATGACGAATTGAGGGCAAATATGTTCAAATGTCTGTGATGTTCGGATATATAACCTGATTATTGTTCCGAAAGTACTTCAGCCTCTGAAATGACCGTTGCTGAAACCCTCTTCAACAGAAATAATCACCTAATGACAGAAGAAAAAGAAAATGAGTCAATGTAAGTCCATTCTGCTCTGGTAGAACACAACTATCCACTAAGAGTTCTCAAAATGGCCTTGATAATTGGTTGAAGAATGGTACTTAGTGTCCTTCTAAGAAAGGGATCCAAACTGTAGTCATTCCATATTGCAGGGATGAATTGAAATAATTATCTGTAAGCATCGAATCAAGGTTTGTTTCCGCACACCTCCGTCCCACTCAGGCGGAAATCAAGGATGGCGCATCGAAGGAAAACCACAGAAATTATGTCTGTGAAACAGAGTGATCATATTATATTTCAGTTTTTGCAGGCAAAGCATCTGAAAAAGTTATTTTGACAAAGCCTGAAGCGAATTTCAAGGACATCACCAGAAATGCAGAGGTTTTTGAACAGATCAGGTAATTTTACCATATTCGACTGAAAGATAACAAAAGGTTGATTTCGATGGAACTGAAGCCCCACAGAAAGGTTTCCTGCCATTCCGGGAAAGACTAACCACTGAAGTTGAATTCCAACAGCTATACTGAGCTAAATACGGTGCAGTTGGCTGCAACTTGGAAAATATTGATCAATAAATAGACATCAATAAAAAAAGAGACAAAGGCGGCATCTTTCGAACTTTCCACCCCCGCTTGCTATGATTGTGGCATCATCATCCTCATTTAACATTGTACCGTGGTTCACACTGGTGTCTAAGCAAAAGATTCATTGCTTGTTCTGCTGCATCTCAAGAATCGGAAGAAAACACAAACTGCAGACCGAAACTTATCAACATCAGCCTTTACCGTTTTTCACCTACGTGTAAAAATGGCGTGCAAACCTTCATATTTTTATGCCACGCGTATGCATGCATGCACGCATGCATGCGTACGCATAATCGTCATTCACTGACGATCATGGCACCAATTACGTCTTATTTTGCGATGGCTCATGTTGGGAATGCAACTCACACTGACTCGCACCTTAACATAGGATATATCAGTTCAAAGAAGGCGACCAACAATCACGTTCAAAAACAATAGCAGTCCAAACAAAGCGCGACATTGGTATGAAATAGACGAATTTAACCAATGATTATCTGCATGATAGGGTTATGCTTGGTCACTCCTGTAGAGAAGCTTGAGACAGGGTCCCGTGCGAAAGGTTGGTATAATTTGCTCCAGACACGCCGAGATTTATACAGTTACAACATATGTTCCGTTTTTCAAGAGTTTTCGAACTTTCTTTTTTATCATACGTATCACATTGCCATGAACAGTGGCTTGCAGAAGAAGCTTATCAGAAACGATCGTCAGTTTTCTGCACAAGCCGGTGTACAGTGTCGTGGCCCTGACGGCTGGTTGGTCCTATTGTGGTAGATATTCCAGGCTGCAGTCAATGATATACCCAACGCTGAGTTTATGACCCCTAGAGTGTTTGACTGCAATTTATGCAATTTAGACTCTTGTCTTGACTCCGTAGCCCCAAAGGAAGCACGAAGGTCACACATAAAAATCAAAGACTGCATCCCTATCACATTCAGGTGAAGAGTAAGGAAACCGAAAAAATCTTTCACGGCCCACGACTTTTCCGCCATTCTTAGTATCCATGCTGTTTTCTGTGACCTGGAAGTTCACCGACGAAAGGGTGAAGCCTTTACTGGGAATAAAATTCTGAAACATGCGAATAAAACTGGTCTTCTCGCGACTTCTCTTAAAAAGAAGCTCTATAATAGACCTGACATGCTTAATGCGAAGCGTATGTCACATCTTTTGTGCTTTCCTCGCGTTTTTGGATTTTGGCAATCTGGCTACGATCCAACTGCACTTTTCGCCTGCAAATTGAAGCCTCTATGGATATACATCATCCGTTAATTGTTGCTGTCATTTTCTCTACATTTATTGGTTGTATATCTCTGGTTTCTATCAGTACATGAACTTTGGGCTGGAATTCAATGTTATTGGCCATTTGATGGTAAGCCGTAGCATCTAGCTGCCTTATCCGCCAGTTTGCTCCAAAAGCTGAGGTTGGCAAGGAGCTAATAACTGTAATCTGTGTTGCAGATAAGCCTCTAAACTTGCTATTTTATTGTCAGACAATAAATTTTT